TAGCAAGGAGGGGAGTGATTAACTTTTCAGTCTAAGAGCAGAGGTCCCTAGGACCATCAAGTGAGAAGACCAGAGAGCGGCACCCTACCCAGAGAAGCAGTGGTGCCTGAAATGGAAGCAGAGATGATGACATGGAGCGATGGAGCAGCTGGAGACTTTAGATCCGGAAAGGGAGAGCGACAGTGTGCTGAAGACCTGGGGTTACGGGGGGCAGGATTGCAGGATATACCCTTTGGTTGGTTGATGATGCATGGAGGGGATTGTAACCATGGCAATGAGACGATATACAATAGAATGAATGTAAAATTAATGTTCTCCCATGTAAACTATCACATAATTCACAATAAAACCTTTAAGAAAAAAAAAATCATTAAGGTTATTTAACTATACTGGTATGTTGTTGTTAAGTGCCATTGAGTCAGTTCCGGCTCACAGAGACCCTGTATAGAGTTTCCAAGGAGGGGCTGGTGAGTTTGAACCGCCAATATTGATTGCAGTTCAAACCAAGGTGGAGTGCTTATCCTAAGGTACCACACTAGGACTCCATACTCACATAGCATAACCAAAATAACAAATTTGTTTTCAAAAGAAGCATAGGGGGTTTTCTTAGTCTACAAATTCAAGCTCAATTTAAATGACAAGAATGATTTTTTTAAACAATATGGCATAAGTTTAAGTAGTTAACTGAAACACTAGAGTCTGAAATGAGGAAGCTGGACTTTCCTTTTTATTTCTGATGAGATTTGTATATAAATGAGATCTGATATAAATGGGTATTTTGGTTTTGTTGTCAAGTTGATTCCAACTCAGAGTAACCCTGTATAGAGTTGCTGAGGAGCAGCTGGTGTGAACCACAGGTTCACAATCCAGTGCTTATCCTTCAGCGCCACACCATCCTAAAATCACTGCAAGGAAAGAAGATAAATTGGATCTGATAGCATAGTGGTTACGAGTCAGGCTGCTATCCTCAAGGTCAGCAGTTCGAAACTACCAGCCGCTCCGCAGGAGAAAGATGAAGCTTTCTGCTCCCGTAAAGATTTACAGCCTTGGAAACCCTATGTAGGGTCACTACGAGTAGGAAGCAATTCCACAGTACACCACCACCACCACTAAAGAGCAAAGAAAGATAAAATGTGGCAAGAGCCATAATTTAATTAAGGAATTAAAATGAAGAAATTGAGACATATTAATCGAGGAATTGAAATAAATAAATGAGACACAGGGAATCTGCACATGAAGAATTCATTGTTTTTGCAAAGCAACAATGAACTATTTTTTTTCCTTTGGATGGCAGAGCCACAAAGAGTTGTTTTTTTATGCACAGACCCCTAGTTAATTTTTCTCTTGTTGATTCATTCTCTGATTTATTCATGATTTTATTAGTATCCCTTTTACTTTAGATTTTTGACTCTCCTACACTTTAGTATATCTTTATTAAAAGTTAGAAGCCATACATTAGCTACGTTTTATTCTACTTGTAATCATAGGTAGTTTTAATACTTACATTAACAATGTTCTTAAGACTATTAGGAGACAGGATTTGTCAATTGAATTACTACCAGTTTAGGTTTAGTGATTGTAAACATTCTTCCTTGTAGCCTTAGTTTAAGGCAATAAAATAGGGGAATTGTTTTCATAGCCTCAGCTTCCCTGAGAAGGGATGGTTCTGTAGGAGGAAGTTAAGGAAGTGTAAATTGCACCTGACAATTAGGCTTGATGACTAAGGCTTGACTAACAAAGGTCAAGAAACATGTAAAGGTTAACTTGCTTCTCAGAGAAAAGAATAGATTTATGTAGGAACAAATGTTTAACTAAAAGGTTTCAAGGCGCCTGAATGTCTCCTATGCCTTGAGATAATGTCTTTGCTGTTAACTTTTCATCCCTGTTGTAAATCATGAAGAATGTGCCCCAGACTTGATTGTATTTTGATGTCATTGATTACTATGAAAGCAATGTTTTTTGTAATGGTATATAAGGGGGTGGTAAGAAAGAAGAGAAGTAGTGACAGGAAGGGGGAGAAGGAATATGAGGTGGAGAGGAGAAGAGAAAAGAATGGAGGGAGGATAGAGGGAGTAATGTAGAGAAGGAGCAGGGGAGTGGAGTAGAGAAAGAAGTAATGTAGGTAATTAGGAGTAGTAGTGTAGAAGGAAAAAGAATAAGAGTAATGTAGAGAATGAGACAGTAAAGAAATGGAAGGAGGGGAAGCTAGTAAAGAAGCAGGAGAGCAAAGAATGAGCAGGAGGGTAAAAAATGAGCAGTACAGTAAAGAATGAAAGAAGTAGAGTAGTAGAATAGCATAGAAATAAGAATAATAAAGTATGTAAGAAGAAGAATTTGAATTAAGACCCATCCTTCACCAACTCCGCATCCCCTTTCGGAAAAAATTCCTGAAATAAGTGTGCTGGGGCTGGCTCCTGGCAAAAAAAGTTTGACTTAGGTGGGCCTGACCCAACCCATGGTATTTTCAATCAACTTATACATATGTGAAGAATTGATGCATTTGACTTATGGTGTTAGAAAAGAATAGTAAAAGTACCATGGACAAAAAGTATAGCTAGAGTGCTCCTTAGAAGCTAGGATGGTGAGATTTTGTCTCTCATATTTATACACATTATCAGGAGGGACCAATCCCGTAAGGATATCGTACTTAGTAAAATGGAGGCTCAACAAAAAAGATAAAGAATCTTCCCCAATGAGATGGATTGACACAGTGGCATTAACAAGTGGAACAACTACTGTAGTGCAGGACCAGGCAGGGCTTCGTTCTGGTTTGCATAGGGTTCCTATGAGTCAGAACCAACTAGATGGCACCTAACACCATTATATGTTAGGCACCTTCCCATAGTGGTTTTTTTTTTTTAATTTCCTGAAATGCTAACAATGTGTTGTGAAGTGTTCTCCTCCCCCATTTTACAAATGAGGAAGCTGAGGCTCAGAGGTATTAACTAATTTGCCCAAGGCCACAGTTGGATTTGCATTCTTTACCAGATTACCATCAAAATTCAGACCTCTCCCACACTTCCATGTAGTTTCCCAAAAACCAACAAAATTGGTCAGTCTTTCATGAATAGTCATTTAAGAATAGAACTTTATCTTTATTGTATAATTGGCTCATTATCATTGTGCTCTGTCCACACCATAATACTCCAATGAGGAACATTTCATCCACAGATGTTAATTTCTCCTTTTAAGGGAAAGGGAGAACTGAGACACCCTAGAGTCAGTGAGCTTTTCAAGTAAGCCTGCAACAAATGCTCAAAAGAGATAACCTTTTAATAAGATAAATTCTTCTAATCAAATGGGCAATTAATGTTGACAGTAGAGCTCTGAATAAAACTAATTTTGGACCCTACCCACAATTAAAGTCCTGGTGTGGTGCTGTGGGATAAAGCACTAGACCACAAAGTGGGTTTGAACCACAAGGTTGGTGGTTCAAACTCACGAGTCACTCCTTGGAAACCCTATACAAGTCACTATGAGTCAGAACTGACTCAAAGGCACTCAACAACAACCCACAATTATTCAGAGTCCTTTTATAATAAATTAAGGGGGGAGGAAACATTATTTCAGACCATAAATCAACTGATGTTCTAATAACTGATTTGGGGGCTGCAAAACAAAGACTGGCACTTCAAATAGGTACTTTCGACGGTTTTATCAGAGGTCACGCATTTTGGGTAGTGGTAGATTATAAGAGCCTTAAAGACAGAGACCTTGCCTTATACATTTTTCTGCCTTGCCGGTGATTGGTACAGAGCAGACTGTTAAAACTGCTACTCATTCAACAACTTTTAAAGTTAAGGCAAATATTTTCAAAGTTAGCCCCATGGCACAGTCTCAAGGGTGTAAGAAATGTGCACTATTACCAAGACTAGGTGGGAAATCTGCTGGTACTGTGGAGAATTACAGATTTAGCCATTAATAAGAGATGGAGACGTTCATCTTCCATTTAGTTCCATTCCCTAGGAACTAAACATTTACTCAACACTGACAGAAACATCAGAACTGTTACTAACAAACACCATAAAACTGTGTTCTTTTTTCATGATTCCATGATACAATACAATCTCAATGCTCTGCAGACAAGGTGATGCCAGCATCCCTGCCAGGCTGGCATTCCAGTTTAAAACCAATAAAGACACGGAATAAATAATATTGTGGAAAGTGACACTGACTTTCTTCTGCTGTTTGTAAACACAAGCTGGTTTTCTGGGAGGAAAGGAGAAGGCTGCTTCTGCCTTATTTTCACATCTGTAATTTTCATATGCTTTACAAAAATGCTAAGTTATAGACAAAAAGAAATGTACTAAAGAAATAAACTATTATTCACATTACAAAGGGATTTTTCAGAGGGTTCCTTTCAATACTAAACTTCTCTTGGGGCATTTAATTTAGGATTTGACTAAAATGCAGCTTTTCAGGAATAAACTGCTTGTGTAAAGTGAGATACTCCTAACTAAAGTTCCTATCGTTTCCCCTCCAAGGACAATCCAGCATCTTGTTTCCTTCGGTTCAGAGGGCAGAACAGTGCCAAAGGCTTCTTGGACCTCGTTCCTGAGGCTTTGAAGAATCCAGCTATCAAAGAGAAAGATTCATTTGTGACCACAGTCCTTCTACTATTCAGCAGCAATGCCTCTATAAAATCAGGGGTGTTCAGATACCAGGGATATGAGGAGAGCAGTGCGTATATCTGGAAGTGCAGTCCACAACTATAGAGCAAGGTTTCTTGCAGTTGTGCTATTCCTTCTGTGCACATGCTAAAAGATAAGCAAGAGGCACTCACCACTCCTAAACACCAAGTCCACCAATACCAAGCTGAGCGACCCAACTCCTGTATGTACAAGAATCATGATAGTCCTTGTGCTGCATAATATTAACTGGTATGTCACTTTCCACATATAGTAAATTAAAAGTCTTAAGAATTTAGCGCTATGATTCTGCAGTTCAGATGCACAAGAAAAGAACTGAACAGTTGAAGGCATGGATTCCCTGGCCCACACCTAGGTGAAGGCAAACCAGCGGGCCAAATTGTGTACACTTTTGGGCCTGTCCCCAGCTGTCTGCACAGCTTGGCAGGCACGGCACCAGGGCTCGTCCCAAAAGGAGGTGATGTGTACAGCATAGCGCCGGCGCCAGTGGAAGTAGCGACGGTAGACAGCCGGATTGCGATCGAGGAAGAGGAGGTACGTGGCCAGGGAGGCTGCATTAGGGAAGTCGTCCACGTGGATGAAGGCGCCGCGAGGAATGAAGCGCTCGTAGTTGGCCCGGTTCGGGCCCAGGACCACTGGCACCGTCCCAGCCAGCAATGAGTTGCGCCAGAGCTTCTCCGTGATATAATCCAGGTGCTGCGAGTTCTCAAAGGCCAGGTAGAATTTGTAGCGGGCCACTGTGTGCAGGAGGCCGCTAGCCGGCAACTGCTGTCCAGGCCCACCCTTACCAAACACATCGACGGGCACGTGCTGACTCAGCTGATGGTAGTAGCGAACTCGGGCCTGTCGCTCATCCCAGTGACTTACCACCCAAGCCACCAATCCCCGTTTCCGGCCCAGAGACGGAACCAGAGCCGGAGGCTGGTCTCTGGGGTGGCTTCTGGGGTAGAGGTAGCCATAAGGCACGAAGATGTCCGAGTCAACCCGGTAGGAGAGAGTCCAGTTAAAGAGGTTGCCTGCCAGGTTTCGCAGCCCAGGAGAGTGGGAGGGTGACTCGAAGTTCATCCATACCCAGCGCTGGCCCGGAGGCCTGGGGCTCGACACCGCCAGGGCTTTGGCCTCAGCCCGTGGCGCTTCCTCTTGGTCTTCTAACACCCATAGTTCCTGCTCCTCAGCAGTGCGCCCCCAGGAGTCCGAGGGCGGAGGCCAGTCCGGGGGTCCCTTCACAAGGTCCCGATGGTGGAACAGCACGGCTTGCGCCTCCCCATAGGACGAGCGGTCTGTGAGCAGGCGACAGCCACTGATGTTGAAGCTCAGCCAGCAGTCGGGGGGCGGTCTCTGTCTGAAGGCGCCACCGCGCCCTCCGAAAGGCTCCCACCACAGCAGCACGGAGACCGGGCGCGCAGGAGTCGAAGATGCCCAGAGCAGCGGCGGCAGCTGCCCCCAGCGGGCGTAGGCGGCCAGCACAGTGCACATCAGACCGGCGGCCGCCAGCGCCGAGGCAGTCCGGGGCTGCCCGGTACCTCCGCGCCGCCCGCGCCGCCGGCCCCACCTTGCCCCCATGGAGCCGACCGGCAGAGCCGCCGCTCGCTGCGCGTCCGCAATCGTGGAGACACGGAGCCCGCTCTCATGCTGCCCTAGGACCGGGAACGGGAGGGGGCGGTCCCGGAATCGAAAGGCGAGCGGATCCGGGTCCCCTCCCCCCGGGCCCTTGGCAGGGCACGACTCCTGAGCGAGGTAAACTGGTCGAATAGCCCGGCCCCGCGCCGCCCCGTCCCTCCCCTCCACGGTGCCCCAAGCCCTGTCGGCCCAGCCAGGCCCGAGGCATATCCTGCCGCACCTCCGCCCACTCCCCACCTCCAGTGCTTGAGCGCTCCGGATTCCCGCCCCACAGACGCGTCGCGCGCTACTCCAGTCCCTGGAGGTCCTGGGCTCCGTTGTTCGCGCCTAGGTCTTCACCAGATTACTCTAAGCAGCAAGCAGCGTCCCGGCTCCCAGCGCGGAGGTCCGAACGCTCACCTTCCTGAGTGAGGGTCCCGCTCATCTCTGAGCGCGTCCAGGGATGTGAGAGAGCAGGCACGGACGGAAGGCAGGCGCGGGGCTGAGCCTTCTTAGCAAAACCCAAGAGGATGGAGTCCGCTTCTTTGAGCACCTCCCTGCGTCCTCTGGCGACACTGCTGGAGGAAGCCCGAAAGGCCACCGGAACCAGCCAGCAGAGGCGCGGGCTACCACGCTGGTGTCTTTGACCTCGTGGCCCATCCAAACGGGCCAATTGTTAAATTAGATTTCCCGCGCTGCCCACAGTGGTTATGCATTCAATGCAAATTTTCTGTGTGACTCGCTATTTGTTTCCTGCTTAGTCACTAAAATTAATCACTAATAATTTTTAACGGGCCTTTATGAAAATTAAATTTCTGCACTTACGATCGTTTTGCAAAATATTGGCTAAATAATGCAAAATAATGACTAAAATAAATATTGTAGCTTCCAAGTTTAGGCTTCTTGTTGTTAATTTTAGGATATAAAGGATAAATATCACAGAGCCCACTTAAGATTTATCAATGAAGCAATTGAGACATCTACATCAACTATTTGAGGAATTGTATCTTAAAGGCTAAGTTTAACTATTTGGGTTTTGGCCTTCATATATGTTATTGAAAAAAAAAATTTAAGCAAAATTCTAAATAGGCCCCAGGTGGTGCTGCTGACATAAGGAGAGGAGGGGGGTAGTTTGGATGGAATTTTTAATGAATCCCAGCTGTATCCATGGGGCCCCAGCATAGGGTGATAGATAGTGTGCTAAGGACAAATAGACATTGTTAGGAAGGTGACAACTTCCCAAGTGGGTTTTTTTGGAGGGAGTGGGGGAGAGTATTTTTGTTTGTTTATTTTTAATTTGTCAGGTTTTTTTTATAGTTGGAAATATGCACAGCAATCACTGTAGCATAAGCACTGGACTGTTAAACTCAAAGTCAGCTGTTCAAACCCACCAGCCACTTCTTGGAAACCAGGGTTGTCTTGAGTCAGAACCAATTCCGATAGCACTTAACAACAACAACATAGGTACAATACTGTGAACGTGCCCTAGAGTCAATTCCAACCCTGTGTAGTGTTTCCTGGAGCCCTGGTGTGGCACTGTAGAATAAAGAACTGGTTGGCTTGAACAGCAAGATGGAGTGTTCAAACCCACCAGCCGATCCTTGGATCACTATGAGTCAGAACTGACAAAACCCAGAGAGATGGCACTTAACAACAATGACATAGAGTTTCTGAAACTTTACTGAAGTAGACAATGTCATCTTTCTCCCGTGGAGTTGCTGGTGGGTTTTAACTGCCCACCTTGTGGTTATAGTCCAGTAAACATCCTATAGCACCACCAAGACTACTAGTATCTTATATAGACATTTCTTTAAAATAGCATAATGCTCCAGGCAGACATTCTTAAGTAATTAACCTAAACTATTGTTTGCTTTTAAGATTTCAGGAGATGTTTTTAGTTCAGGGTTTAAAGATGATCTCAGGGCAATAATTTCTGGGGGCTCACCCAATCTTACTGGCTCCAGAAAAATCTCTGCCACGTGTTTTGATGTAATGTGCACAGAAAATAAACTTAGATTTGTCCTTTGGATTTGTTGTTTGGAAGATCTTCCTTAAAAATATTGTTTGTAAAAGCTTCTCTAGGAGTGGTTTCAGATAGCATTGCCTCTCCACTAACCCTCCCAGAACCAGCACAGTTTCAGGATATTTCTTTTAACCTCGTTAAGCAGATTGTGACTGGAATGAGAAATCACCATGATTTTCCATTCTGATGCCTCTATTTTTTTATTTTTTATTTTTAATTAGAAAGAAAAAGCTATCCATGCACAAGGTGTTTCAACCACATGAAGACAATGATTGTTGGCTTTTCTTTTCATGCAGAAAAAGAAACTGCATGGGCTTTCCTCCCCCTTCTCAGTAATTAAAGCATCATAGGCAGAACTTATATTGGGTCTGGACATGGTTGGAAGGCATTTGCATCCTTGCATCCTTCCTCCCTATACTCTCAATTTCCCCTTGAATTCTCCAGAGGGTCCAATTAAGCCAACTTTTTTGTATACAGGCTACCTGTATGCTCATGTTCCATGAATATAAATTTCCATTGCATGAATTTACTGTGGTAGGTTGTGGGACCACAAACTGTCCCTACTTCAGTAAATTCCCAGTCTTATCTTGCAGGGTTGGGGAGTAGGGAAGGACACTAGGCAAGAAGGTAAAACTTGATCAGTCACAACTCTCTACAAACCACTCACTGAAGGTTCACAACACTTGATTTATTCACAAGGTAATGGATCATTCTTACTTAAAAGAAATCTAAAGGGACAAAGAATCCAGAGAAAGTAATGAAACAAAGTGTTCTCTTTTAATAATTTAACAAATTGGGAAGCTGAGATGAAAAACACAGTTTCTACCTTCAAAAAGCAATGAAGAAGACAGTTGGAAAGGAAGGACTCCTTAAAGGCTTTGAGACGGGAAACCTAGAACAAGTATGAAATGGAATGTGAAGAGACGTTTGAGACGTTAGTCTGAATAGAAGGAGCAGCAGTGAGGACAGGCTAGTAGGTGAGGAACTGGACTGCTAAAAGCAAGGTCAGTGGTTTACACCCACCAACCACTCCTCATAATCCTATACAGGGCCATTCTGAGTCAGAACCAATTTGACAGCACTCAGTAACACCAAAGTTTGGCTAAAAGGAGCACTGGTGCACAGTGTTTAGGCCCTTAAATGCTAACAGAAAGGTTGCTCATTTGAACACACAAGCCATTCTGCTGGAGAAAATGTGGCAGTTACTTTTCTAAACATTGCTGTTGTTAAGTGCTGTAGAGTCGGTTCTGACCCATAACAACCCTGCATGACTTTCCAAGGAGCAGCTGGTGGGTTAGCATTCCAGTATTTATCTTACAATGCCACACCCGAATTCCAAAGATTACGGCTATGGAAACCCTCTGTCTTATTGGGTCACTATGAGTTGGAATAGATTCAATCGCAATAGGCTTTAGTTTGTCTAACTAGTCCTTCGGTGGTGCAGTTACGCATTGGGCTAGTACCAAAAGGGTGGTGGTTCTAATCCACCCAGAGGCACCTTGGAAGACAAGTCCGACTATCTGCTTCCGAAAGATCACAGCCACGAAACACAATGTGATCTCCATGAGTTGGAATCAACTTCATAGCAACTAGGAATTTGGCTAAAGAGATAGGGTTTTATCCTGAAGGCTGTAGAGAGTTCTTGAAAAGCTTTCACAAAGCATAAAAGCAGTATAATGAGAGTGGCATTTTCAAAAAGATCAGATATGAAGGGGATGAGTAGTTGGAAGAGGGCATGAGAATAGTTTCTGAGATACTGCAAATGTTTATTGATATGGTGGTGGTTATGTGCCATGGAGTCGGTTCCGACTCACATATAGGGTTTCCGAGGCTGTAAATCTTTATGGAAGCAGAAAGCCTCATCTTTCTCCCATGGAATAGCTGGTAGTTTCGAACTAGCTGACCTTGAGGTTAGCATCCTGACTTGTAACCACTATGTTACCAGAACTATTTGTTTATTAATATTGTTGCTGTTGTTCTTATGTGCTGTGGAGTCGGTTCCGACTCATATTGATCCTATACAGGGTTTCCAAGGCTGTAAATCTTTACGGGAGCAGAAAGCCTCATCCTTCTCCCGTGGAGCAGCTGGTAGTTTCCAACTGCTGACCTTGAGATTCGCAGCCCGATTCATAACCACTACACTTGATAAAGGTGTTGTTTAATGGATATATTTAGTTGAGGAAATTCATCAAGCTGTATGCTTACAAATGTGCTTCCATGTGTGTATATTATACTTCATAAATTATACTTATTACAAGTAGTTCCTAAGAAAAAAATTATACTATTACAAAAAGTTTCTAAGGAAAGAATTTCTGTCACCTGAATAAAAAATGAGTTGGGTATTAGAAACAAGAGTAAGATTGGAGGTATAGAGTCTAATTGGAAAGTTACCACTATAATGAAGACAGGAAATGAAAAGGTCATGAACTAAAATGTTGTGTGCCATTGAGTAGGTTCTGACTCATAGTGATCCTGTAAGACAGAGGAGCACTGTCCCTTAGGGTTTCTAAGGCTGTAAAAGGAAGCCCTCCAAATGAGATGGATTGGCACAGTGGCAGCAGCAATGGGCTCAAGTGTAGCAATGATTGTGGGCCTGGAACAGGACCAGGCAGTGTTCCATTCTGTTGTACATAAGGTCACTATAAGTCAGTACTAACCTACTAACCACAACAGCAACAATCATTCTCCCGCAGAGCGGCTGTGGGTTCAAAACACTGACCTGTTGGTTATTGAGAAAGTGCTTTAATCACTGTGCTACCAAGTCTCCTGTGGACTAAGATAGTAGTTGTAAGAATGAGGAGGAACATTACAGAAGAATATATTCAAGAGATATTTAAGAGGCCAGTTTCTTTCTTCAAGAAGCTATCTTGGACACTCAAAATGCATACATCAATGCTAGGTTGTTGTTATTGTTAAATTGCCTTTGAGTCTGTTCCAACTTATAGTGACCCTGTAGAGAGTTTCCAAAAAGCAGCTGGTGAGTTTGAACCACCGTCCTTGTGGTTAGCAGCCTAGTGCTTATCCTATGCGGTTAGCAGCCCAGTGCTTATCCTATTACGCCACACTCCAGAGTCCCCTAATGATCTCCTATATATAGCTCTCAAAACATTGTGTGGGAGGGATCATGACTTTCATTCAAAACTCTCCCTAACCTAGCACCTACCACACAGTCAGGTATAGGATAGTCTCAATGAATAGTTACTGAATAAATGAATGCCCTTAATATATTTTACAGAAATTATCAGTCATCATTCCCCATTCCCCACTAGATTGTCAATATCAAGAGACTCTGATTATGTAAATAACTTGCTGTGACTTTAATCTCAACCTTTCAGTGGAAAATGGTACATATGAATTAGAACCCTAGTAACAAGTCCATCAAAGTAAAGCTGGCTCTCATTGATTTAGTTTGGCTAAAAGGAGACATGGTGGTTAAAACCCAGTAGCTGCTCTCCAGCTCTGCTTCTGTAAAGATTACAGCCTGGAAACCTATGGGACAGTTCTACTGTGCCCTGTAGAGTCACTATGAGTCAGAAGTGACTCAATGGCAATGGATAATGATAAACTAATAATTCTTTGAGTATTTAAAGGTCCTTCAGTTTCCACAAGGGGAGTGCAGAGGATC